AAGAGGTCATCAGGGATTGACTGGAGGGAAGGCCTGCCGAAACATCCATGTTTTAAGTTGATTTTACTTTAGATCCAAGGCCGTATCTGTCTATTTTCTTTCTCTGTCAGTATTTTTCAGGTTGTTGTGTTGATTCCATCTTATTTATGGTTAAACAATCAGGATTTAGTGGTGTGTTTTTCTCATGTCCTATTTCTTATCGGAAGTGCACCCCACCAAGATACCCTCTAATTTTCAGCCCTCGCATGTATGACTCCACCTTCCCCCCCCCTCGCAGGGTTCCGTCACAACCAGAACCAAAGGGCTGAAAACTATTGCTGTATGGAAGGAGATGGCGTTGTGCGCATGCTGGCACATGCCTTAGAAGCAACCTTGCACCCTACACACTTTTAAAGTTTTATTCAAGAGAAGGTTGGTTGGAAATGAACAAGATGGACTCAGAACCTGCTGACATCCTTTATTTGTTTGTTTGTTTATTGCATTTATACCCTGCCCATCTAGTCAAGTGACTACTCTGAGCAGCTTCCAACACATATAATAACAATATAAAATATAACAACATTTAACCATCAATAATAGTTATTCAAGATGGAAAGAAATAGGGGAAAAATAAATAAATAAATCAAATAATAGCTATGGGGAACATGATCCTTCTGTATCATGTTTAAAGGAGGAGAGGAGAATGTGTTTGGGGTCAAACAGACTAGGGTGAGAGGACTATATTGTTCCAGATAGTTTTTGATCTCTTAATTGTGCTTGTGTAGAAACTGACTTGTTTATATTTCTTTCTACTTCAAATCTTGCTTTGCCAGATTTCTGTTACGTCATAGAGTAGTTTTTATGAGTTTAGAAGGTAGTGAAATTCAGGGGAACACAAATAATAGTCGTTGAATATTACTAACATTTCATATTTTTAGCATTAACTTGGCAGGCATTTGAGTGTAACAGTATTAGGCATTTAGAGAGGAAATATGTAATTCCAAAAATATTCATTTTCAGGCTACTGATGGTTTCAGGATGCTTTTATTGTACAACATTTAGGTTTTCTCTTTCATTTCTGTCCCTGTACTGGATGCATCTCTTATTCAAGTCCTTCCTCTGATAGATTGGAACCTGTTTCAGGGCTGTCACATCAGATGCATGTTTTTATTTTATTTTATTTTTTGGCTACCCTAAACACTTTTTTGCTTCTGTTTGTTTCAGGTGCGGTATGGATCATTAAAATACAAAGTGAAGAGAAGACCACAAGTGTACTTCTAAGAGACCTTCACAGCTCAGCTTAAATCAAACTACTGTATTAGATGCTTCCTTGTAGGCCAGTTGCAGTGGGCCTGTATGCTGTGCATTCCCATTCTCTGAAGGGAGATTCTTGGCATCTAGGAGGATTTCTGTTATCATAGTGAAGCTTTTTCCTCACAACAGAAGAGACGGGGGAAAACCTGACATGTACAGTGCTTTGCATGCAGATTTGAATAGCTAGCCACTATGTTGTGTATTTATACATACTAAAAATTCAACCATGGTGGCAAGAATTTATTGCTTTAAAAGGTGAAGTACATGATGTGTTTAGTCTGAGTTTTTAAAAATAATTGCTAACATGGGTAGGTAGCACTTTAGTCTTATTTACTTCATAAATGAAATAATTTAAATGAGTAAGATTTTTAATTGTGACTCTCATGGCTGAGCATTTTTAATGGTTTTGTGGATGTCTAACATCAATGAAAATTGCACACTTGCAGAATTTTTTTACTGTATTTGGAAAGCTTGTACTTGAATAAGTTACAATTCCAGAGTCTTAAAATACTCTTAAAGTCAAGTGTTAAGAGAAATGAATATGGAGGAAATAAATAGAATTTGGAAGTTATCATAACAGCTAGGATCCAAAGAGCTTCTTAGGTTCATGAAATGGGTTTCTACTACCCATTGGAATGGATGCCTGATGGCTGCCCCACCTGAAAAGCTGCTTTTTGGCACTGATTACCTAAATGATATGACGTGGCTGCTGTTCAGTCTAAAGATCTCTTGAACGCACAGAACTATTAATGGTTGTTTGGAGGTCTGTGATGCTTTGTTGTAATGATTTAAATATAGCATGTGCACATAGTCTGACTGATCACTTGATCCATTTCTTTGTCTCTTTCTGCACACTCAAACATACTGATTTGTGGTGCTGCGTTTTCAGTGCATTGTTCTCCAGGAAACATAGGAAACTTTTATACCACATCAGATCTTTGGTCTATCCAATGTGCTGTCAACAGTGGCTGGCAGCAGCTCTCCAGGTGTTCGGATAGGAATTTTTACCAGCAACTACTGGAGATGGCAGGGATTAAACATGGGCCTCCTACACGTGAAGCATGTGCATTGCCAGTTAATATTATCCTTGAAGCAGCTTCCTCCTGTGACTATACTGGTGCATGTGGGAAGATGCAGCTAAACAAATTGGTTCAGGTGCCTTTTCTGCAAGTTAAAAGTCTAGCATACAGAGAAAGGAATTTGAGGACAAGTTGAATACCAAAAATATTCAAAGCTTTCTATCAGATACTGGTAGTCAAACATTTTACCATGAACTAATGTCTCCAGATTTTAAAAAAATGTAAAAAAAAAAAAGCAACTCTTCATGCTACTTTCATCTGTGAGTTTCTATGAGTTTCTGATGTTGGTTTTTAAAATCACCTTATGTATGCTTTATATTTTTCACTGTACGTTTGTTTTTGTGTGGTCATTTGTTCTCATGTGGCATTGCTGAAGGCTTTATTTTGGGACAGTGCTCAAAACTGAAAGCCATATTAGGAACACAGAGTAACTGGATTGTTGGACTGATGAAAGAGTCCCATTTGTGTAAAGCCAGCATAATCTGTAGAGGTTGTAGTAATTTGACACATTTCTATAATGATCTTAGTGTGGTTTCAAGGCAGCACTTTTAATGCTTTTAACCCTTAAGTTTTCACTACTTAAACACTGGCTTGCAAAATGTTGTTTTTTCTAGATTTCTGAAGGATGGCCAGCCTTTCCTGGTCAGATAAATTCTCCTGTCTGTTGGGATCACTAGAAGTTTTAGCATTCCATTTAGATGTAGGAATCATGTCAAGTCCCCAGTCATTAAATGCAATTAAATAAATAAATGTGATTCACATTTTAGGTGTGGATCATGGCTCTGAGTGTTGAAACCATTTAACTGAACACTTGAAAAAACGCTGCTCTTGTATCATTTGGTACTTGGCTTTAATGAAAGGCAAATAGATTCCAAAGAAATATAATGTACTTGCTGCATATAAACTTTCACAAAGTCCATATGGTATACATAAAAGTTGAACAGAATTTTTATTTTATGCAGTGTAGGGAGTGTCTCTTCCCTTAGCATTTATGCTGAAAACTGGCAACCTGCACAGTATGAGGAACTAAGTGCCTATTTTCTCCCTACCGCCGTAAGCCTCAGAAATAGAATTTAATATAGAGTGCCTGTCATTACATTTCATTGGCTTTTGCTGTGGTTACATTCAGTGTAAGGAGGATGAAGTGTGATGTACAAATCAGAAAAGTGAAGTCCAGATGACTGGTTCTAGTCTTACCTTTCACAAAGTCTTCCTCTCCTTAATAGATCTTAATGACAAATCTCTGGAAGTTCTTTCTTAAAAGGACACCTGGTTCTTTGATGTGATGGCAAAAAATAGTTCTAAAATAAGAGGCACCTTGTGACCCTTTGGATAAGGTTTTATTACACCTCCCATGATATCTCACCATTGTCTCTTGCTAATGTGATGGAAGTTGCAATCCTGCAATAACTGGAGGACAAGAAGCTCCTAAGAAATCCAGTGTCTGCATCATAATGAGTTCCATTCACATAACACAGTAATAGGACGAACAAGCAATCCTTCCAATGTTCTTCTTGCTCTTATGCTACTGATTTAACAAAGTAACTTCAGAGAAACTGCATAGGAAGCAATTGTGAAATGATGAATTTTGACATTTCAGCTATTTCTGAATTGATCCAAAGCAGAGCCTTGCCTGGGTGTTTATACAAGAGATAGACAGGCCTAATGGCTACTTTGTACATTATGTTATTAATCTGTATTGCTACACTATGAACATAGTGTATACTTAGCATATATTAGAGGCAGTTGCACTTCAGAGGGCTTTTCATTAGCCAAATCTTGTGGCCGGTCCTTGTGTGAGGCTCAAGATCTGAATCCAGTTATTAATCTCACCTAAAGTAGACCAATTGATTCAACAGCACGTACAATTCCATTGATTTGACAAGTCTTGTTCATTTAACTCTAGCTGGGATTAACAATTGGATTCCAGACCCAGACTACTCCTCGCAAGACCCAAGGAAAATAGATGTGGCATCCTGGTCAGATGTCACTGATAATTGTTTTTTCTATGAACTGAACGAAAGGCAGGTCCCTATTCCCCAACCACCTTTTTTTTATTCAAACAGTAGCAAGGAAGATACTATTATAAATGTAAATGCACGTTTTGATAATACCATGCCAGAATTACGATATTTTGAAAAGATAGAGGGCTTCTGCTAGGTCATTATTCTATGAAGCATTATGTAAAGAAGCTGTATGCAAAGAGTGCAGTTTCAACATTTGGATTCATCTTCACTTTAAAGACTGCAAATGTTAACTTTCTTGACTAAAAATAATTTGTCAACTTGTTTACATATTTGTAGTACTGAACAAAATATTTTTAGCATTTTGTACTGATATTTCTTTACCTTTGTAAACACAGTTTTTGAAGGTGCAATGGTTCTTTATTTCTAAAAAAAAGTACATAATAAAACAAGTACTCTCAATGTTTCTGTCTTATTATTTGGGTACTGCACAGATTAAAATGTAAACATCAATGGCGGGTGTCACAAATCCAAATCAGATAAATTGTGCCAGCTGCAAGCTGTTGTTTGTTTTGCATCAAGTAGGAATATTCTCAGGAAAATATTCTGGGCCAGATTCAGTTTATTCAGACAGGCATCTGTATAAATTTTACAAGATCTCTTAGAAAATCTTTTAAGTCCTTATTTCATGGTACACAATTCTCTATATTTTTATCTAAGATAGGGTTTGGGAGGGGGAGTATTTATTTATTTATTTACTTACTTACTTACTTACTTACTTAACTTATATGCCACCCACACTACCCAAAGGTCTCTGGGTGGCTTACACCAATTTAAAATAAATAAAACGATAAAACAATTAAAATACAAATAAAAATACAATACTCTAAAAATTGCCATCAGGATCCACAGTTGACATTACTTCAATTAAAAATCTGGAACAGGAAGGTTTTGACCTCGTGCCGAAATGTCATCATCAGAGCCAGACGAATCTCACTCGGGATGGCGTTTCATAGTCTGGGGGCAGCTATCGAAAAGACCCTTTGTCTACAACCCATCCCCCTTACTTCCTTGAGGGATGGCTCTTTCAGGAGGGCCCCCTGCTAGATCTTCATTGCCGGGTAGGTTCATATGGAAAGAGGAGGTCCTTCAGGTATCCAGGGCCCAAGCCGTTTGTACGTTAAAACAAACACTGAATTGGGCCCGGGCAGCGACTGGTAGCCAATGTAATTTGAACAGGAGTGGCCTGATGTGTTCCCTAGCGGTCCCACCACTCACCAGCCACGCAGCTTGATTATGAACCAGTTGCAGTTGCTGGACCGTCTTCAAAGGCAGCTCCACGTACAGCTCATTGCAGTAATCTATATGGGATGTTACCAGCTCATGCATAAGTATCATGAGGCTGCTTGTACAGGTAGGGTCGTAGCTGGTATAATTTCTGCAGCTGAAGGAAGGCGCCCCTGGCCACCGAGTACACATGGGCTTCCAGAGTTAAACTAGGGTCCAGTAGACCCTGTCCCTTAGGGGGAGTGCAACCCCATTCAGGGCAGGGAAGTGGCCCTCTAGCCTGTCTGGTGAAGCACCCAGTAACAGCATTTCCATTTTGTCTGGATTGAGTTTCAATTTATTAACCCTCATCCATTCCATTTATCAGGTCCAGACACAAGTTCAGCACAAACCACTTCACCTGGATTGGTGAAAAACGAGAGGTAGAGCTGAGTGTTGTCAGCATATTGCTGACTCCTCAGCCCAAACCTCCTGATGACCTCTCCCAGCGGTTCCATGTAGATGTTAAACAGCATGGGGGACAGTATTGAGCCCTGAGAACCCCATGACATAAACACCATGGGGCAGAGCAACTATATCAGACTTTTTGTGGCGTCCACTACCAAACATAATTATGTCCAGTGAAATAACTCTATTTAATCTGTTCCAGCAAAAATGACCAAGTGTCACACAATTAGTTTTTAGGAGACTTCAATTGTATATCGGTTTACCTGCACTCAGCACCTTTTAATGCGGTGGTAGTTCTGAGAAAACAGTATTGTGCTGGAACTATATGATTTTACAGCTCTGATCTGTAAGCCTTTTATGTTGCCACAATATGTTGCCTTCAAAATGTACTGCTTTTACTGGCCTTTTTTGATGTATTACAACCAATGCTTCCCATTATCTTACAGGAGGAATCCAGAATTTGTGCTTGTTCCAGATGCACAACTGTCATCCTTGCCCATTGGCCATGCTGACAGAGCTTTTATGAGTTACAGTGGACCCTTGACTTACAGACGGCTTGACTTACAGACTTTTTGAGTTACAGACTTCTCTGGCTGCAAAATTTAGGTTTGACTTGCAGCCCGAGAATTGACTTACAGACGAGAAAAAACCCAAAATGGAACAAAAACGGCCTGTTACGGGATTAATCGGTTTTCAATGCACTGTAGGTCAATGGAGACTTGACTTACAGACTTTTTGACTTGAGAACCGCCTTCCAATACAGATTAAGTTCTCAAGTCAAGACTGTATAGGCTAGAACATTTGGATAGGTGCAGATTCTCCACTCCGACATGATTTTTTGGTAGTGCAGCTTAATTCCTTCCAGCTACTTACAGTGGTGCCTCGACTTACGAACGTACGTACTTACAACTATTTCGAGCTCCGGCAGCAAAATTTTGCTTCTACTTGCGACCGGAGCTTCCACTTACGAACAGAAAAAGGAAGGAAATTCAAATTTCTTTATATTTGTTTTTTTTTTTTCCTTTTTTATATATTTATTTAGGAACAGGGATAAAGGGTACAAAAAGAAAGAGGGGATAGAGAAGGAAAAATGGTTTTGGGGGATAGGAGAGCATAAAGTATAACATCATCCAATCAATTCATATTACTAATACATATCAACTTTTTGCTTTTTCACAGTTTGATTACCCTCCTGCTTTTATCTTATCATTTAATTTTAATTTTATTCTGTGTTATTCCAACATTGTCTGGTAGCTGCTGCCATTTATACAATACATCCCATCGTTCAGTTTCTTTTTGAATTGAACAGTCTTTCAGCCCATCTGACAGAATATCCATTTTTTTCACTTCCCATATTTTCACCATAAAATTATCTGGTTTCAGTATCTCTGCCTCCTTAAGATTTTTGTCATAATGCTTTTTAATTTTGGAAGCTGCATGGGTCACTGGATAACTCTCTACTGCATTCATATTACCTGGTGTCATGTCTAATACAGACGATTCTAAAGTCTGTACAACTTCATTTAAGTTTTGTTTGGCATCTACTGTCCCCTCTTTCGTCCCTTTCATCAAATTTTCTATTTTGCTAAGACCTGCATTCACTCGCTGGAACCCTGTTAATATTAGCCTGGG